TGCTATATGGTCAGTGCATCTGTCACTCAGCCAGCGGATTGGATGCCCTGTGATTCACACGGGACGGTGACCACGCTCCTGCAACATTGGGAGCTGGTGGTCACCCTGTTAAAGGGAGACTTCAGAAAGAGCAAAAACTGTCAGGATCAACTAAACATTTGCTCACATTGTTAGATATAAAAACTGGCACAGCAAAAAAAGGAATCTTATTAGCACAGCTTTGGTATTTGGGGGTTACATGCACTTTAGGCAATGCTGCTTTTCTTGTATCGCATTGCATGCTCTGTTTGCGTGATGTCACCATTAACCCCTTCATGACTGAGGCCTTTTTTTCACACACTTTATATTCCACATTTTGGGCCTGAAAATTACTTAAAACCCCCCAAACATTCCATATTTTCTGCCAAGACCCTGTAGAATAAAATGGCGGCATTTGCAAATTTTTATGTTGCACGATATTAGAGAAACTCCTTATCAAACCCCAAAAATTTAGTGAAAGATGTACTTAAATGCCCAAAAACACAAAATACCCATTTCTTAAAATAAAATATAAAAGCTGAGGTCACAATGAGTAAATAGATACCCAACATGCCCAGGTCACAAATTGTGTGCGTCCGTGAAACGGCGACAACATCCAGTACCCCAAAAAATCCATAGACGACGCTTTAAAAGCCCCCCACAGGTCATCAGTTTAGAGATTACACAAAAATACTGGCCCGAGAATAATTGCTCTCACTCCGGTGTGCGCGGCGATACCCAACATGTGTAGCGCGTTCGTTGTTTTCATACGTAGGCGCACCCGACGCGTGTTTACGTGAAGACGCTCGTGGGGGACTTTAAAAATAATTTTTTTATTATTTTTAGATTTATTTTATTTAACGTTAATTTTAAAACTGTTATTTTTTTTAACTTTACTTTCATTGTTATCACATAGGGGGCTTACAAGCCCCCCATGTGATAACAGATGGTGGTGACAGGTGCTCTTTAAGGTGATGCTGGGGGTCCAAAAGACCTTTAATATCACCTTTACACTCCAAATAAGCTATTGAAGTGCAGATCGCAGGCTTCAGGAGCCGAACAATGACAGCTATGGGACCGGAAGTGATGCAATCTACATCGCTCCCGGTCCCATAGAACGGGGAGGGGATCAACAAACGGAGGTTCGTCCATCTCTTCCCCAGCTTCCCGCCGACTCCAAAGAAGCGGTTTCTGGGCCCGTAGACCGGGAAACACGGCGGGGGTGGCGGGCGGGGTGGGACCCATTCACCGGCCCGTAGAAGCGTCCTGGCGACAGCAAAAGCCGCCGGGAGTCTGTTTAAACAGCCCTGATGCCAGTACACTGTACGTCGTGAAGGAGTTAAAGGAGAACTATGAGGGGGGTGCTTTTCACTCACACTGAGCCTAGGGTGACGGGAGGACGCTAGTTTGTGTCCTCCCGTTACCCTAAGGAGAACTATGGGGAAAAGCCCTGACATCATAGTTCTCCTTTAAATGATATGAATCTGATGTTATAACATTTCTCGAAAGATATAAAGCCGACGATACAATGTTACATTTGGATCAGCAGGCAATGTGGAAAGTATGACCGCGTAGTAACTGCCCCGTCCTCTCAGCCTCTCTAGGTGAAGATTTGGTTTCCACCCTGATGGAATTCGATGACGCCTTGCAAGACTTTACAAGAGGGCCTTGTGATTCGGAGGAGCACCTCAAGAAACTCAAACAGCACCTCACGTTGATCAGCGGTAGCAGCTGTGATGCAGAAGGTAAGGCGGCATGTCGGATAGATCGAAGAATAATTGTAGGATGGAACCCCCAAAGAGCAGAGGAACCCTTACAGTGACTTTCCTGGTCTAGGGGAACCCCTCCTGGCTGTATCTACAGCTCCCTGTACACTAGCATGATGGTCAGTGTGAAGAATGCTCCTTACATTGGGGGTCAGGGGGAAGAATGCTCCTTACATTGGAGGTCAGTGGGAAGGATGCTCCTTACATTGGGGGTCAGGGGGAAGAATGCTCCTTACATTGGAGGTCAGTGGGAAGGATGCTCCTTACATTGGTGGTCAGTGGGAAGGATGCTCCTTACATTGGGGGTCAGTATGTAGAATGCTCCTTACATTGGAGATTAGTGGGAAGGATGCTCCTTACATTGGTGGTCAGTGGGAAGAATGCTCCTTACATTGGTGGCCAGTGGGAAGGATGCTCCTTGCCATGGGTGTACCAAGGTGTGGTGTCAACCGGAGCGACCACCGGTTGACACCCCGCAATGCCATTGCACATGTGCGTGATGTCATCGTGCACACTCATGCGCATGATGACATCACGCGTGTTTACCTGCCGGCAGCCACCTTGGTGAAGGACGCCGGCAGAGAGAGAAAGGGACATTCACCCGGCCGCATAAAGTATGCCACCGGGTCCCATCCTCTCTCCTGCAACCGTCAAGCTCTTGGGCTATGACTGAGTGTCCAACTTTTCAGAGGGGGTGACACCAAAATAACTGCCAGTCATTTGGTGTCACCCCTCCAATGGTGTCACCCAGGTGCGAACCGCACCCCCCTAGTGACGCCACAGGCCTGGGGCTGTAGCCTTAGGCGGCATCTCTTTGGGTCCCCTTTCCAGCCAAAGTATCACAGGTTGCTGGCACAAGAGCCATACACATCTCCTCACCTAGCTCTCAGCATGCTGGGATGCTCTGGCCTAGACAGGATGCTGGACAGAGCAGGGCGGTGCACCACTAGGATGCCGGCTAGAGCGCCCTTAGAATGCACCAACAGCACCCCATCAACCGCACCAGGAATGGGACCACCAAGAGCCAACCCCCCCTCCCCACTTCCCCAAACGTGGCCACC